TTAAACAGTTCTACACATAAGAAATACTGCCCAGCACAATTCTCTTCAGCGTTTCATTCAAAACCTCATCCCCCCCCACTCCCTGCATTGTGTCATAGTGTGTCATTTACCTGCTCCTGATTCCACTAAAGGTAGTTGTTTTCCCCTCAGCAAACAACTCCTTGGGCCCAACTTCCCAACCAAAAATCATTTTTGCAAGTTATTTAGTGAGGTGTGTCTTTCAAGTTCCATTCAATAAGGTTAATAGTGCTCTTCTTCCCCTCATTCTCCCTTACTTTTCTGTTTTGAGTATTCACGGAATCTGGATCTGCCAGCTATTTCTCTTTGAAGTTGAAGACTTGGCAAAATTATACATCCAGCAGGCAAGAAATAAAATGGAAATGTCTCACAAGTAACAGTGAAATCTGTTGTGTTGTTTTAAGAGTTAACTAATGAAAAAAAAAGCCCTACTAAATATTGTCTTGGCAACTATAAATATATTTTAGCAACAATAAAACCTTTAGAATAATCGTTAAGATACCTGAAACCTAATGTCTGTCTGCCCACCACTCATATATATTTACACAATATATACACACACACATATATGTATATATAGTACATATATACACACACACATATATACATCCCATTCCTCATTGAATGCTGTGTAATTTTCCATTTGAGATTTTACAATTAGTGTTTTATATGAGTCCCTTATATGGCCAAGTAGCCAATTTCCCCCCTGCTGCATTTTACTCATAAAATTGGAAATGAGTTCATTAGATCAACTGCAGCAACTCTAATTTGAAATCTTGAAAAACACATTTCTAATTAAGAAATTTCCAATCAAGCAGAGTTCTAAAAATCAGGTTGTTGTTTTTTTTTCAGGACTTCATTCACATCCTTATAAACCACGAACAGTCTTTTCTTTGGGTTGGATTGGGCACCAATTGTTTTTCGAACCTCTTTTCTCTCCTCACCTTATTCTATGTTCATTCATAAGGCATTACTTTTATCCAATAGCATTTTCAGAACTATTATTTTTTTAAAGGTTCCAAAATACAACTGAAATACAACTATTCTAATGCAGTTGGCTTTACCTTTATTTATTAGTTTCCCTTCTTCCTGTTAAAAGAGAAAAATCATAGGCCCCAAATGGTGTCACTCATGCTAAAAGCCCATGATATCAAACGTAGATTTAATACCTGATCTAATTACAATTTCAACCTTTCCCAGAAATGTAATCTTACACAACTACACTGAAATTTTCTGGTCAAGCACCAGTGAGGTAATCCGTCACGTGGGCCCTCAATCCCACCCCCAACCCCAATAGAAAGAAGAGGCAATCTGCATGATAAAAACGGTTGCCATTTGCTTCCCCCCTAAAGAAGATGTCCTGGCCTAAAAATAATCCTTTCTTTTCTTTTAATAGCTCCCTTACCCCACCCTTCTTTTAGGTGCTGCCTGATTCATGAATTGCTAAATAGAGCCAATTAAATCTTCAAATTTACTTGGTTGAATTTTTTGTAAACACTGCTTATTAAAAAGAAAAACCCAACTCATATAAACATACAAAACCATTTGAAGTTAGATAGATTTCTTTCCTAGGTAGCAGTGATTTCCATTTCTGTTAATAATTTATTTGGAATGAAGAGCTTATTTTGTTAAGTAGATTGATCCAGTTGTGCAAATTAAGACACATATTTATAATTCTCACTCTCATATAATTTAAGAGTCTAGTTTAAGAGTGTACTTTGAAAAGTCAACTATGTCAGTTAAGCATGTTGATTGCCTTAGATGCTATTTTTTAATAAAATCATTCTATTTGACAACATCTTTGGTTTCAAACAATATGAAATGTGCATTTCTATTATTTTACTTCTGTTATCTTGTATTATTTAATTTATTCTTAAATGCCTGAGTTGATACAGTGACTGACTAAAGATATATCTTTCAAAATACACATTTCATTTAGTTCCCGTGGTAAAAATTTAAGTCACTTTACATTTTTAAACCACTTTGCATTTTAAAACCAGTTGTTTAAAAATGCAAAGTGAGCTTAAGTGCTAGTCTTAACTCTTCCTAACTCTCCTGTTGGGAAATCCTAGAAAACTGAACTAATGAAATGCAATTTATACTTTTAAAATTCTAATTATGACTGTCACATTAAATTGAAGGTGAGACTACAACTGCTGTATCTGTTAACTAAATCAAGCGACGCACTATGTCATATGGGTTATTTAATGTGCGAGTGTAAAAGTCAAGTCCCTGGCAGAAATCTAAGTGCCTCCATTCTGTCTTCTGGGAACGTATAAATTAACCATTCTCCCCCTGCGGTCCTCCTCCCTTCCTCCCTCCGCCCTATTTTAAATGTAGATAGGGCGACTCAAGCCTTTTGAATTTGAAGGGCTGCTATCTCGGCTCCATTCTTTTCATCATCCTGTTTTGAATGACACTGAGCATGTATGGATTCTTTTATAAAACCACCCCCTGGATGCAGGGCTCCATTCTCCTGCCAGTTTGCTAATTTTGCATAGCAATTAGTGTGACTTCTCGAAATGGGTTATCCAAGTACAGTTCGTGAATGTCCCACGTAGCTCCTCAGAGGTCATGGATAACCCTGTGCTTTATTTCAAACCCGAAGAGGAGGAACTTACATAATGACTAAATTCCCAATTGGAGTGGTCTGGAGGATACGGTAATGCAAAGCCATACGTTCATTCAAACCCTCCCGAGACTGGGCAACAAGGAGCCAGCATATGCCTTATTTTAGAATCTATTCTACCTATTCACTGACCGCTCAGGGCTGGGCCACATGGTCTTCTCTTGCAGCCAGTCCAGCTGTGAGCAGCAGATGGGATCATTTGCATTTTTCTTATATTTTCTTCGACAGACAAGTTAAAGCATTAAAAAAAAAAAAAAAATCACATTCTCTTTTTGCCTAAAATAAAAACGCGATTTAATTGTTAGATTGGGCTACCCTGACCCTCACCCACCATACCCCTTTCAAGTCACTGAGATTAGAGAAAATACCCGAGGGGTAGGTTATATATTTATCAAGTTGAAATCTCCAGTCCAGAGTCAGGAGTCTAAAGAATCAGCCTTTATTCAGACAGCGACTCGTGCCTATTTTAAGCGTTGGGCGCGGATATCCCGTGGGTTTGTCTGCGGCATGTGGGTCTGTGAGCGCGCGCACTTCCGAATCTCTCGCTTTGCAGCCTCAAAACTCCAAACTTCGGGTTACAAGTAGAAGGCAGATTTTTAGCTCTTAGGCTCACAACAGAGGGCGGCCACTCGCTGGGGGAGTGGCCAGAGCCAGCGTTTCCCAGCGCTGCGGTCGCTCTCCGGCAGCCCTCGACTCCATGCGGGCTCCGCTGGGTCGCAGGGGCCACTGGTGTCCCCGCGCCCCCGATGTCTTTGTGCCGAGCTTGGCGCGGGAACACCCGCCCGGGGGCCCAGGGCACCACGGAAATGCCATGAATTCGAGAGAGACGCTCGGGAAGGAAACGCCCCGCACAGTCGCCGTCCCGCGGAGGAAAAAAAAAAAAAAGTAGAAAAAGAGGCTTTTCAGGTCAAACTCCTCGGGTCTGAGGAACCACGTTTTAGAGACAGGACTCGCGGGGGGAGCACACACGGGGCGCAGCAGTCATTGTTAGCCAGCGCTGCCCCGGAGCGCCGTGGGTGAGCGGCCTCCGCCCCCCGCCTGGGCAACCGGCGCCGGCCCACGTGGAGCAGCGCGGCACCCGCCGAGCGCGCCGGGCCGTCCCGGTCCCTGGAGTGCGCGCCCCAGCTCCCCGCCGCGGCCGTTCACGCCCGAGCGCCGCCGCCGGTCCCGCGTGTGCCCCGCTGAGGGGGAGGGGCGGGCCAGGGGTGGGGGCGGAGGGGTTGTGGTTCTAATGCGGCGGGGGCTCCTGTGTCCTTGTGCGGAAATGACACACGGAGTCCCGTCACGTCACGCGAGAGCGCAGCGCACGGACACACACAAAGAGAGGGGAAAATACACGGCGCCCGCCCGCCGCCCCCAGCAACTCCCCGGGCCGCCCCGGCCAGGCCCTCCGCGCGCGTCCCCCACTCCCCGGACCTGCGCTACCCCGCACCCCACGTGGCGCCAAACTCGGCGCGGGCCAGCTCTGCAAAGTACAGAACTCGTGTCCCAGGTAAGTGCGGGGCGGATCAAGCCGGCTGCGAGGCGACGGCGGCTCAGGGCAGACGGACGGGAGAGTGGCTGCAACATCCATGCTGAGGTGGGGGCGGGAGCAGGGGAGGGGACGCGAAGGGGGGCTGCCCTGAGCGCGCCCGGCGGGAGGAGCGCCCACCCCCGTGCTGGGCCGAGCCGCCGAGCGAGCACCGGCGCCCACGGGCTCGCCGCGCCCATTGTGCCGCGCACCCCTTTGTGCCGCTCGGAACGCGGCGGCTCCATGGCGTCCCCGGGAGCACGCGCGCCGCGCGGGGGCAGAAGGGGGAGACGCGGAGTGGAATGGTCCGCGCTGCCGCCGCTGCCCGCCCCACTCGCGCCGCGCGCCGGCCCCGCACCCCCGCTTGGCGCCGCGATGGAGCAGCCGGGGCCGCCGGAAGGCTCTGCGGAGCCCGTGGGGGCTCGGTGCTCACGCTCGGCCGGGCTGCGGCGGGGGACGGTTCGGCGTGAAGAGGGGGGTGTCTGAGCGGAGCAGGGGGCGGGGACTGGAGGGAGATGCCGAGCGGGGCGCGGGAGGCCAGAGGAGCCGCGGCTCGGAGGGACGCTGTCTCCGGAGTCTGCAAATGGAGTGAGGCCGGCCCGCGGCGGCGGCGGCCGGGAGCGGGCGGATACAGGCCCCGCCGCCAGGGGGCGCAGCGTTCCCTCCCCGTAGTCCACGGCGCGGTTCGCGGTTCCCGCTGCCCGGGAGCTGGAGGCGGGCCCGGCGCCTTGGGTGTGCACCCCGGCTGGCGCGAGGCCTTCGCGGCCGGCCGCGGACTGGAGCCTGGGGCGCTCGCCGCTGCCCCTGACCTTCCCCTTTTCCTCTTGCAAACGTGATTGCCCACGCAGACTTTGCCCTCGCCTTATCGGTGAGTTGTGCAGCAGCCCCGGTGAGGACCTGTGGTACTGAGACATACATTTCTGTACAAGGTGTTTTTACAGAGGTGAAAGAGTGCTTGCTCAGGTGGCCTATCGGGGAGAATGTTATGCGCCAGGGCTAAGCAGACGAGGGTGCGTGGAATAGTGCTAAGCACTTCAGCGTCGGAAATGTGCAACTTCACCCATTTAAAGTAACTTGGACATGTTTAATGTGCCATGGGCAACGCATAGGGTGCCAGGAAGCGAAGGTTGCGGGAAACTGAGGCAAGGAACTGAGCTCTGGGCTGGCTCGGTACACAAACAAGAGGGATGGAGGAGGTTCTTTCGCTATCCTCATCCCCAACAACCCCCCCCCCTTTTTTTTTAAAAAAACAACCATCCCTAGTTTGTGGCTTTGTATCACCATACAGGATCCTGTCAGTTCCCTCACCCTCGAGATTTGCACAAGATTTTGTACCTTAGCCACCAACCCGGTGTTTGATAACTAAGTAGGTGCTCAGGCAAGCATTTGCTAAATGAATGGAGGGCCTCTTGGATTCCAGAAGAGAGGTGGGTTTAGTGCAGCCTGTTCCTGCTGGTGGGTTAGCCTGTCTGTACATGGCCCTTAAAATGGAATTCACAGAGCCCTGGCCGGTTTGGCTCAGCGGTAGAGAGGCAGCCCTCAGACCCGAGTCCCGGGTTCGATTCTGCCCAAAGGCACGTACCTCCCGCAGTTGCAGTTCCGTTGCAGGAGGCAACCAGTGGATGCCCCCCCTCCCCTCCCGGAGATAAATGGAAAAATATCCTTAGGTGAGAATGAAAAAAAAAAAATGAAATTCACAGAACCTTTAAAATTTGTCACGTGAAAACAACTGCCACTGAAGGTGGGTTTTACCAGAGATGCCTTCTCCTTGTTGAAGTAATTTAAGAGAAAAGTTTTACGTCTTCCCCACCACTACCACTAAAGCGCTAATAACAGCGAGAGAGACCAGCTAGGACCTAGCAGACAAAATAGTCATCCTCCCAATCTGTTGAAGGGTATTACATCGACACATTTAATTTCACACTCCCTTTTGGTCACTTTCTAAGTTCCTAAGCATCCCTTATGTAAGCAGAGGAACAGCAGAATGTCAGATAGTTAGGAAGAGAAAACTTGGCATCAACCCTGATAGAGGTTTGATTAGGTGAAAAAAATGAATGTCTTGCAGAATGTCTCGCCTACCCCTTTTTTAGAGCTGTCCAGAAAGCCTCTGAAGCACTGAGGAAAGAAACAACCCGAACCTCAGATTTTATAATGTAGAAGCAAGGAAGTTGCCGGCCAACCAGCAAAAACAATTTGGTGTTAATGTCCAGAAGGCTGGGGGCAGTGTTTTGTTTCAGGCACTTAATTTTGATGGCAAGTGGAGAATTATGGCTGCTACCCTTATTATTCATTGTGCCCATTATTGGCTAAAATAAGTTTGGAGGACTTGTAGAATTAATCTTTGGGGTGATGGAACCTTTTTGTATCCTCTCATTCGTGGTTACGGGGTTGTATGTATACATGTGCTTTTTCTTTCTTTTATTTTTAAGTCTCACTCAAGGATATTTTTCCATTGAGTTTTTCAGATAGGGAGGGAGGGGGAGAGAGAAAGAGAGAAAAACATTGATTCGAGAGAGACATATCGATTGGTTGCCTCCCGTATGACCCTGACTGGGGCTGGGGGTCAAACTGGGAACTGAGATACATGCCCTTGACTGGGAATCAAACCCCAGACTCTCCTGTCTGATGGCCGATGCTGTAACCACTGAGCCAAACCAACAAGGGCTACATGTGCCTTTTCATAGAATTGGACACCCTTCTCTCCAGAAAGTAAATTTTACTGTATGATAATTTTTAAAAATAAAATCTGAAGTCACATAAAGGGCACATGCCAAAAACATGGACATTTTTAATGTGCTTTGTGTACATCACCTTTTTAAAACAATTTTTTAAAATTGATTTTAGAGAGGAAGGGAGAGGGAGAGATAGAAACATCGATGAGAGAGAACATTGATTGGCCCCCTTCTGCAACCCCCCCCCCCCCTTGCTGGGGATGGGCCCACAACCTGGGCATGTGCCCTGACTGGGAATCAAACCAGCGACCTCTTGGTGCATGGGGTTGATGCTCAACCAATGAGCCACACCAACTGGGCACATCACCTTACTTTTGCTGTTTCTTCCCCTTCTAGATTAGATACTTGCTCTTCTCCCCCTTCTGATGCTCCAGTGTCTCCTGCAACATTATTATTTCAGCCCAAAGCTCTTGTGGTTTCTGGAACTAGCTGCTACAGATGACCTGCACATGCCAAGCTAAGAGCTCTCCCTACTGGCATCAGGCCTTTGGTGTGTAAACAGGAGGGGTGCTCTTTCGCTCGGAGTGGTGGTTATGTTCATCACTGAGTGACCAGATTGTTTCAGAGCTCAGTTTTTCTCAGCAGCTCACCTGGTAACATGCCTTGCCTCCATTTTTAATCCAACTTGCAACACATGTAGTTAGCCCTCATAGTGTTTTGTTTTCTACCAACAGCCACCTCTCCTCTCTTCTTGACTGATTTCAGTTATTGCTGGCCAGCGAAACACAGTTGTTTCAGTCTCTATAAGGACATTGATTGCTCAGCTGAATACATTGCTTGGTGGTCTTGTATACAGGGGTTGTTGGTTTGGGCATGGAGCTAGTAAAGCAAAGGATGGAGGTTTAGGGGTGGGATGGGGTTAGTTTACACCAGATTATGCCCCAACTCTAATTAGCTCATGTAGTCATAAGACTGCATACTTGAAAAAATGGGAAGTACAGAGAAAACTCAGCTTATACCTCCTAGGAAAATTAGTCACCATTGTCCAGTCAGTCACATGGGTGGCTGGCTGCTGGGATGTGCTGGCCTTCTTTTCCTCCTTGAGCCCAGCTTCTGCATGCCAAGGTTAAAGTTATAAGCAGCCTTATGCCTTTTACCATTGACGCCTAGCGTGGTTGCCTTTGCTTTCGCTCAGGAAGACATGGTTAGTCCCATTTAGAAAACGCAGTGTCACGAGGGCAAGACGCTGATTCGCAGACAGGCAGGGTTGTGGTTCGCTGCGTGCTGAATGATGAGGCTGTGCCCTGGCTGAGTAAGGACAGCATTGACAATTACAGCTTCGGAACAACTCGGGGGGAAATTGCCCTGGTTTTGTGAGGACTGGTATTTTTCAAACAGCGTGTGCAAATGTGTCTAAAAATAAAAACAAATTGCAAGCATGTCCTGCAAGTCCCATGGGCAGGATGCCACTGCCGAGAGGCCGGTTCTGAGAGCCCTCAGGCTCCCCGCCGTTCCTGTAAGCCCAGAGACCGCGGAGAGCGTGGCATGGGAACATTCCTCCTGTCCTTAGGGAGAGCATTCGATTTGATTTCACTCCCAGCTTCTCCTTTGAAAGGCAAGCTATACTAACCTTTTCAAAAGCTTTAAGTCATTTAATTTTGCAGTTTTAAAAAAATAGTCACTATGAAGATGTACTGTAAACATCTTTTTTTAAAAGGCTTTAAAACAGGTAACATTTACTGAGTGCTGTGTGCCAGGTACTTTCTCCTTTTTGGTTTTCACTGAAACTCTAAGTGAGGTAGTGTGTTCAGCTCCATTTTACAGAAGAAAGAACCAGGATTTGGGTGGATAAGCAACTTGCCCAATGCTAGAAACTACACGTAGGTGGAGCCAGAGTTTTAACCCAGTTCTTTCTGACTCTAAAGTGTAGTAGGGAATCCCATTATCTGTGAGATCAGCCACACTAGTCCCTATGTTGGTGGTCTGAGGGTCCATGTGGCCAGTTGACTTGCTCTTGCATCTGAGCCCAGCCTCCAGATGGGTGCTCAGCAGGAAGGGGTGGTCATGCCCCATCGGGTCCCAGCTCTGCTTGGAAGACTAGAATGAGACCATCAGCTGGTGTGTACCCCACCTTTCCCTCTGCTTGCTCTCTGCAGCACCCTCCCCCAAGTGAGGCAGAGATTGCTGGCCCCCTGGTCCTACATCTGCAGCATAAGAGGGCTCTTGTGAGGACTGTGTGGGCTAACACGTGAAACACTCGGACCGTGGAGCTGATGCTACGTGAATGTCAGCTGCTGTCCTCCTTTTCTCTGTTTCGTTTTTAAAAATCAGTATGACCTGCAGGAGAGAGGTGTCAGGAAATCAGATCATGTGGTGTGACAGTTGAGAAAAGGATGAGGGAGGTTTAGGTAGGTCTTAGTAAAACTTTCTAAATTCTTGAGTATGTTTTATTAATAACACCTGCCAAATGGTGTGAGCATATTCTCTCTGCTATACTTTTTTTTTTTTTAATCCTCACCCAAGGATATTTTTTTATTTATCTTCAGATAGAGTGGTAGGGAGAGAGAAAGAGGGAGAGAGAGAAACATTGACATGATAGGGACACATTGACGGATTGCCTCCTGCATGGCCTTGACCAGGGCTGGGGACGAACTGTATCCGAGATACGTGCCCTTGACCGGAATCAAACCCGAGACTCATTGATTTGTGGGCCAGTGCTCTAACCATTGAGCAAAGCGGCCAGGGCTCTCTGCTGTACTTTTTGTATGTGGCAGTGCTACACTAGTACGGTCCCCATGGTCTCAGGAGCCAGTCACATTCATCTTGTGGTGCTCACATTCTCAAGGAGCCCTCGTGCAGTGGTGAGAGTTTGCTTCGCTTTACACCTGGAAAATGACTTGGGAGGTGAGGAGGACTTGCCCCGAGTGGCCTGAGGTCAGGGCTGCAGGGCAGGGGCCAGCTGTTCCCGGACCTGCACCTCAGCCCAGAGGCGAATCCTACCTTCAGTGGCCGTTTCTGATTTAGTGGAGACAGGGAGGAATCCTGAGTCAGCTGGCTGGGATTTGAACCTCAGGCTTTCAGGAAGCCCAAGTACTTCCCATTTCTGGGCCTGCCGTTTGTCCTGTGTGACACTGGCCAGCCACAAGCCTCTGGTGCCTCTGATTAGCCTTGTTCTCCTCTTACCAGAGGCCTGGTC